TTTTGAGCTGTGTGAAGCTGACATCCCACCCACGTCAAAAAATCCAGCAAATAGTCTGAATGGTTAGTGCTCTGTTTGTGCAGGTTTGTGCCGTTAAAATTTTCGTCTGTGCAGCTGTCCCTTATGAGATATTAAAAGTTATAATTTTGGCCAATGACATCATCAACTGCCTCCATTTTGCTCCAAATATCAAAATTTTTGCTTTACCGCCGTTATGTTGCTGCCACCAACTGGTATGTAATGTGGACCACAATGTCACCCAAGGATTATATTATACAAATGACTAAATCTGATTTTACTTTATTTGGTGCTTTTAGAGTTTAAGATTCAGCCCATCCATCCATCCATCCATCCATCCACCCACCCACCCACCCACCCACCCACGACTGTGCTGAGTGAGTGATAGCATTGCATCACTTACTTGATGCAATTCTATAAAACGGCATTGTGTGCTTGGGAAATGCATAATACTGACTATTTAAAAGATGTTGGTAGATTATTGAAACTGGATAAAGATTAAGAAACCTGATGTAAAAGAAAATCAATTATTGAAAAAAGAGAACTTGCTACATATGAGTAGGTATAAAAATACGCTCAGATTGATCACAGGAAGTTGCAAAAAAAAAATCAATCCAACAGCGTCACCCCTAGGAATTAGGTGGATTTGAATATGTGGGAATGATCATCATTGGCTAGGGTACATGGACATGGAATTGTACATCAACGCTGCACATATGGGAAAGTATCTGGTTTTCCTCCATCAGATGCTTTTGATAGTAACCTATGCCAGTTCTTGGCTTATTCCTATACCACAGTATTAGTTTATTTAGCTTTCTGAAGGACATAGGTATGCCACAGCTCCTAACTCTCATCTCAGATTCCTTTTGGCTTCACTTCAGAACAATTTCTCTCTCCCCATAGAGAAATAATTAGTCTAATCCCTGAGCATCAGTTTCTAACTGGAACCATTTCATGTTGTGTTCTGACTTTACTGTAAGTTGTGTTCCTTCTCTTTGCCTAAGGATGTGACAGTACTCTGAATCCAGTTTCAAACTAGACTGCATGGTACGGATGCTGAGCTCTACATGGTGCTCAGTGTGTTTCTTTCTTCCAGTTTGTTGAGCTCCACTCACAAACCTGGCTTTATGGGGACATTAATCCCTGGGTCCTACTACTTGTTACTGACAAGTTTTTAATGGACTTTCTCACATAGCAGATGGCCCAGTTTAATGTTAATATGTGTGTGTTTGTCTGTTTCAGGTTTTGCTGGGACACCAGGGTATTTGTCTCCAGAGGTCCTGAGGAAAGATCCATATGGCAAGCCTGTGGATATGTGGGCCTGTGGTAAGGTTTTCTGCACATTTCGCACACACACACACACACACACACATGCATATTTACAATTTTATAGTGAAATTGTGTGTAATAGAATCATATCATTACTAGAAAAAGTAATAACAAAAAATCAATTGCACTTGGCTCTCCAGTGGCCCCTCGGGCCCTAAGCTGCTGCTTATTTTACTTATGCTTTGGGCCGGCCCTGCTTCTTTATGTCTATTATGTATGTCTGTTCTTCTGGTCACGTGAGTCTTTTTGGGGTCGTAAACTGTTCTCACAGAAGTCTAATTGCAGTCCCATCATTCAAGTATAAACGACCACACAGAAAATATTTCAGCAAATAACATGGAATTGAACATCAAGAGCAGCTGATGTGTGAAAGTAGCCATCGACAGTAAATGGATCGAAATACAACTGAGATTTTCTGCACTGTAATGATAAAATACAGCCATATCCAGCTTAGAAGGTGGTTGTGCATTATCACTGCAATAATTTCCATGATTTACAGTTTCAAAGATACAACACAGCTCATGTATTGCAGTGGAACAGCAGATGACTGGGTTGGCCATTGAATGTGTTGGGCAGCTGAATGCAAATATCACATTAAATATGTTCATAGATTAGATTGAATGAGCATTACATTTAAAATAGTTGCTCATATCCACAGTTTCTTTCTGCTCTGTAGATTTGTGTGTATGCCCAGTGAGCTCTTGAATTAATGGGTGCTGACAGCCACACCACACATGTCTGATGGGCCAGGCTACCTGGGCCTGAGATGTACCACTCACTCACTCACACATGCGCACACACTCTGTAGGACACACTTGTGCTGACCAACTGAATCCACAGCATCAATAGTCTTTCATCTTTTCCTGGCAATCAGCCGACCAATCAGAAACACCACTCCTGGTAGCACCAGCAAACACAATCATTGAGCATTATACACTGTTCAGCTGTTTCCTGCTTGGTTCCTTTCACTATGGCTACTCAATAATTAGCACTGTGTGCAAACATTTGTCAGAATCAATGGATCAAACAATAAGCAGAAAATATGAACAATTCTGCAATAAAATATATGTTTGAACATGAATTATGTATGATTTGTTTTTTTCTTGTTTCCTTCTAATTGTGCATGCAGTGAAGTCTCCTTTAATCACACCTTATCCTGACTTACTCTTAATTTATGCCTTAATTTATGCCTAAGATTATCATTGTTATAAAGCTCTATTTCCACTATCTCGTTTGTTTTTGTGTTTTTAGGGGTGATCCTCTATATTCTGCTGGTAGGGTACCCTCCGTTCTGGGATGAGGACCAGCATAGACTGTACCAGCAGATAAAAGCTGGAGCTTATGATGTGAGTTTCACTTTGGGGGGTGTGTGTGCTTGTGTGTATTGTAATGGCCAAGCCGAGGTCCAGAGCCTGGACCGCATCATGTTCTTCCTCTCAGCCAGTCAGTGATGTTGAGTCATGGCCTGAAAGGAAGTTGATCTAATGGAGGACTTCTTTTTTTTCCAACACATGTTTATTGGTTATGTCTGTATTTTAATGCAGACAAACAAGCAATCATACAGTAACTTTAACATTATCCCGGCTCAGACAAAAAAAAGGAAAGAAATGAAGACGCATTATTGCATTATATATTATGTGAGGCTACATGAAAAAATAACAGAAATATCTAGACCAGTATAAAGGGGTCCCAAATATTATGAAACATAGTTTTTCTATTGTGTAATTTACTAGTTAGAAAGTCCAGCAAGACATATTCAAAGACAGTCCGTTTCCATTGTGTTTTGGATGGAGCCTTATCTGGTATCCAGTTCAAGAGGACACATTTCCTGGCACAGAATGTCAGCATCCTGTTCAGGTGTTTTAAGCAGTTCTTCTTTAGGCTGTTGTTCCTCACTCCCAGTAACAGATACATTGGATTACACTCAGTGCTAATGGAAAAGATATTGTCCAACTCTTCCTTTATACTGAACCAGAATTGTTGAATTTTCCTACAGGACCAAAGACAGTGAGTTACATTACCCACCTCTATTTTACATTTGAGGCAAAGCGGAGAAAGGTCTGGATTAAATCGATGACGCAGATATGGAGATATATGGGCCCGATGTAAAATTTTAAGTTGAATAGCTTTAACCTTATTACAAACACTCAAATATTTAGCATTTCCCCAATCTTCATCCCAAGCCTCATTGCTCATCTCCATAGCTCTTTTTCCCACATCTCCTTTAAGACAGTCAGTTTCGTAACCCCCAGTTTTTTTAAGAAGGTATAACAGGTCTTAATAGAGCTTATAGTTTTTGGCTTAAATAACACAATCAGAGACATTTTGGTTGCTGAGCATCACTGTGTTCTTCAAAATGTTTGTCCCTCACCTGTAAATACCGAAAGAAGTCATGTCTGTGAACATTATATTTGGTAATTATCTGATCAAAGGACATCAAGTTTGGTCCGTCCATTAAATCAGAAAGAACAGAAATACGTTTTGTTGCCCATACATCAGAAATCCCAGGTGGAAAAAGGGGATTGTCACATAATGGAGTGAAAAGGGATGTTAGGCAAGACCTGCCTTGAAGCTTTTGAATTATTTGCCAAGCATTAACAGTAGATAAGGTGAGAGGGTTATGTAAGAGAATAAAATCATTAACTTCTCTTGTATTATATTCTCTTGTCCTCCCGTCTTCAATGATCCCATGCGTGGAAACAAAAGCCACACAGAGATAATCAGAGCTCCACGTCATACATTTTCAGAGTTTATTCCAACATTTACACATCGACAACACAGACACTTCAAACACTAAAACAGACATTCATTTACCTGAGACAAGTAGAAAAGTAGGAAAATAGAAAAACGGGAAAAGGCAAAAAAACGTGTTTTTTGGAGATTGCCATGCGGCTGCAAATAGCAAATCTGATTTGTTGCTCTGGGGCCCTTACTTTTTATTCAAAAAGGGTGTTTTCTTTGTTTTAATTTATGCAATTATGCGATTAAGGCGTGTTGTTCTCCTAGCAACAAACTACTAAGTATCAAATTACTCAGATTGAGCAATTTTATTACCTTATGAATTTATAATTCAGGACTACGGTGCTTCTCTATCTAGACAAGGGAGACCAAGGGTCATTTAGAGCAAGCTCTTCTCATGCCAGTTTGACATGTGATGTTACTCCTAATTCCTGGTTGGAACAAAGCCTCTAGTCTTTTACCAGAGTTCAACCAAAAGTTAACCTGTCTTAGACCTATTTTATTTCCCTGTTGTGTAATTCCTACAAATCCATATCAGTGCAGTAATTTTAAATCGACATAAAGCCTGGTACGCAAAGTGGTTCAGAACTTCTACATCCTCTTAGATCAAACTGCAGATTTTAAGAATAAAACACTTATAGAATATACCTGAGCATTTCAATAAAAACACATTCATTCTAAACATTTTCTAATTAATGTTATACTAGTTTTGATTATATGTTTGGCTCACTTAGTGTTACAAATTTAGCCTGATTACCAGTGTTAATATAAAACTACAAATTAGACTAGTTCAAGTTATGTTAATTTTAACTAAATGGTATTCTACTAATTAAATTGCAATTATTGTTGGTATTGTCTTGTCATTTTTGTTAAGTTTTAGTGTCTCTCTGAGGGAGATGACTTGAGAAGTCTCCTCTGCTGCCTTTGTGCCAGAGTTCATTTATGACGTGGTTCCTTCCTGATAACGGACATTCTTTTCACCAGGGCTAACTTAAAGCCCTCTTACTCCAACTAACCCTGCTCAATCTACCTTTTTCACATGTGGTAAGATTAACTGTATTAAACACTAAGAATATTTATTTTCCTCAACAATTACTACAACACATTTTTAAATTTTTAAGTTTATTAAAGAATAGGAAGTTTTTCAAAGGGATGTTAGACATGGAACTCTCTATATCAAGCCAGAGAGAAACTGGTTTCTGTATCCAGTCAGCAGCTATCCACATGTGAGCGCTAAGCTGATGCTTTTTTATGTCTGGGAGGTCAAGACCGCCTTCTGTGGATGGACGACAAAGTGTAGAAATTTTTTGAGACTATGTTTTCTCCCTGCCCATATAAAGGAACCAAACTATTTAAAGTTTTAATGGTCTTATGTGTAAAAAGGATTGGAACTATCTGTATCAGATGTTGTAGCCTGGGTAGGACGCTCATTTTCAGAAAAGCAACACGGCCAAGCCAAGATAATGGTAAAGTCCTCCATCTCTCCAGGTCCTATCTAACACGCTCAAACAGGGGGGGAAATTACTTTTAATACAGCTGGTCAAAAGCAGGAGTGATCTGGATCCCTAAATACACAAATGCCTCTGCGAACCACTTAAAGAGGAAAGGAGAGGGAGTCTGGGTTTTTTGTTTCAAGATGCCTAATGGCTTTACTTCGTATTTGTTGAAATTGATTTTATAACCTGAAATGTCACTGAATTTGATGGTCTCAATGAGAGAGGGTATGGATGTTTCAAGTTGAAGCAATACCACCAGCACATCATCAGCATATAGGGTGATTTTATGCTGTCTTTGTCCAAAGGCTCACCTAGTTCATTTTCTTGGAAAAATCAGTTTTGTCACGTGATTGCGACTAGTCGACTGGCCCAGTAAGATCACACTAGAGTAAAGAATCGACTAGTTTGTGCAACCCCTAATTACACTCGAGGATTTTTAAATTTAATCTGTATGGTAACATAAACAAATACATATTGCAAATGCTTTTTTTCGAACAGTGCCTGTAGCACAGCTACCTTTAAATATACGTACGTATCAGTAATACAAATTACGTTGCAATGCTCACTCGACGCTGCTGGAACCGTAATGCTTTTCAGGGAATGAACTCCTCTCAGGGGAACCCACCACTGCACCTGACCCACAAGAGCACAACCACATCCCAACGGGTTGTGTGGGTCATGTGCATGTCGCTGTCGCACAAAAGCAGCACAAACCTAGACCACACAAATGCAGGCCATATGCACACGGTTCACAAACGCATCGGAGACTTCCAGAGGAAGGGGAGGTGAAACAACAATGTTTGCGAGATTTCTGCTGTTTTGCATAAGTTTCGACTAAATTTAAGTATTTAATCTGCAGTCTTAGCGCAACGTTCAGGAAAAGTGTGGAAGATGTCATGGTCGGCCAATCGGGTGACCCATCAGCTCTTCAGTTTGCGAAACCACATT